CCCGCCATGAACATCTGGCGTCCACTACCACGGGTGTCCATAGCCACGGTCCATTGGTCATCCGGAGACACGTCGACGGGATCCGTATACTCTGGGTGGGCAGTCAAGCGCCGGACCTTTCCAGTGACAAGGTCTGCAGCAAAGACATCAATGTTGGACGACTCGGCGGGGTACCCAATGTATGTGACTTCTTTGCCGGTACCGCTGAACCCGCGAAGCTCTCCAACAGTGATGGCATCATAGTTGATCCGAAGCAGAGAGCTGTCCTCCGGGTCAATCTCGACCGGCTGCTTATCGTTTGTGCTGAATAACAGATTGACATTGGCGAGATCATAACGGGGCACAAGTGGCTCGCCAGTTGTCGGTGCTTTGTTGAAAGCCAGCCTTCCTATATATGCGAACTGGCTGACCTTACCGGACGTGACGGTGAAAGAGTTAAAGCCGAGATGCTCGTTGCCAGGATGGATGCGCAGCTCGCGAATGGTCCCGCCGATTCCTGACCCGTTCACGGCCGTGTTCCATCGGATTGGGTAGACGTGGACTTGGTCCGGAGTGCAAGCTTCGCTAACAAGCTCAGCCGAACACTCGATGACTTGCGGTCCAGCAAGCAGGCGTTTGCCGTCCCTGAAAATTTGGGGATAGTCGAGCGGCGCAACAAGTACAGCCTGGTCCTCCGCAGATACGCCGCAAGTAATACACTTCCACGCATCACCGTTCGGAAAAGTGCTGTTGTCGATCTTGACAATGATCAGCTGTGGGCCGTTGTATACGCTCGCCGGGTCGGGCGATGCGGGGGCGCCGGTGAAGTTCACCGTCGCTACAACGTGGAGATCATCCGGCAGGAAATCTCCGTTCTGAAGAGCGGGAGATCTCCCGATACACCCGGTGCCGCGGGGGTTGATCTCCAGAGTACATCCTCCGACACCCTCGTCCGCGGTGACGGGGGGTAGAGGGAGCTGTGTGATGGTGATTGGCTCCGGCGCGGGAGGAGGCGGGACGTCAGCTTCCCGGTTCGCGATCTTGGAGTTTTGGGTACTGAAGTCATTGCTATCGGCATGTCTGCCGAAACGGGCCTGGTCTTCATGTTCGTCCGCCGGTGCGGCGTACGCAACGCTCGCGGCGCAAAGAATGCCAGTCAAGGCAGAAGTGAGACGCATCTTGAGGAACTTCTCAGCGGCGCCTGTGAGAGATGGCACCATAAGCTGAACCAGAAGGTGAACCAGACCAAGGAGGAATGTAAGACGAAAACAGCTTCTTATGAGCATCTACGGAACCTTGAATTTCTCATCTTGCCGAGAGATCACCCTGTAACCTGATGTCCCGGCGGAAGACCCATCCCGCGGAAACAACAGGAAGATCTCGCCTAGCAGGGCTCCAGATGCACAAAGGCCAGCAGTCCAAGCTTGACGAGGACGTAAGACCAAGGCAAACTGCGCCGCCTCCCGAGGTGTTAAGCGCCGATCTCAAAGCTTGAATATTCGTATGTATTCCGAAAATTCGGGCCGGGGCGGGTCTCTGCTATACGCGGAACGGAAGTCTCGAATACGGCGAATACGGCGGGGGAGGCGGGATATACGCGTGGACATCCTTGGCTGCGAATGACGATGGACGGCTAGATCAATTTGGCAGGAAATTTTGAGTAAAAGTGTGCCACGTCGTAGGGATACTCCAGTATTCGACGCGAATGTGACGAAGTACGCTGCAACCGTCCAGTACTATCCTCTCTTGACAACTCATTGCCGCAGCGCAAGGCTGCACTTATAGCGTCAAGGCATGGTATGCCTATAGGAACCAGCCAAGCCCGCTGCGATGAGTAAACCAAGTTGAGGGCACCTTGTCATTCATACCCAGTTGACATGACAACTTCGGCTGATACGAATGAGTCCGATCTCTTGGTTGACTAATCTCTAAACCTGGCTCTGAAAAGCCCGACTACGTTGCAAACATCGTCACAATGCAGCAGAAAACAGGACCATTCTGATCCATGAGACATTGTCCTCTAGCACTATGATCCAAGTATGTACGTGAAGTATTGATTGCTTCTTTCAGAGTAAAGCGGTAATAAACACCGAAGTCTGCAGGCCAAGCAACCCTTCCGTGGCAACCAAACTCCCATCAACCATCTCCCAAGCAACATCGCCCCAAAGCACCTCAACAACCTCGCCAACCTCCACTCCATCCGGCAAAACAACTCTGATCTCGCCCGAAATCTCATCATAACTCAGATTGACCACACTGACAAGCACCTGCTTCTTCGCTTCATCAACCCACACCGCCGCATCAACCCTCTTCGCACCCTCAACAGCAAGATCCTGCGTCCTCTCCGTGCCAAGCAAGAACTCTACCGCAGCTTCGTTAGTAAACACACCAGCCAACTTGCTCGTCAGACCCTCCAGCTCCGGCGTTGCCGGGTAATTCCACATCACGATGCCCTTTGCGCCGTGGTTGACCGACAACACCGTCATGACAACCTCTTCCTCGGCGGTCGGGTACCGCGCCCAAAAGGTCTCGTTGCCAAATGCCTGCGGTGCAAACCACTGCGTCTTCTGCCATCCCAGGATCTCATCTCTACGGTAGAACTCGTCCAGTCGCACAGAGATATCCTCAAAATTACCCTCGCAGTCGTCGCAACCGCAGCACCCGTACGTGGCATTACACTCGGTGCCATACACCGTCGAAAACGTCGCGTTGATGGCGACGGGGTAAACGTCGCTCATGATGATATCCGCGCCGGCGCCGTACTCGGCGTAGTGGAAGTCCCAGCAGTTGAGCGCGAGGGAGACCGGGTGGTACGGGTCAATCGCCTTGATCTGCTCGTACGCCATTCCCGTGGAGTTGGCTGGGTTCGCCTTGCCGTCGGCCTCGTCGCTCTGGTACCACAGCAGGATGGACGGGTGAGTGCGCAGCCGGGTGACCTGGTCGACCATGTTTGTGAGGTTCGGCCAGGTCCATAGGACGTCGTAGCGCAGGTAGAGGCCCAGCTCGTCGGCCCGCTGGAGGTAGGGCTCGAATTCGTCCCAGGGGAAGGGGATCTCGCCGAGGCTGCCTGTGGGCACGATGTGGATTACGTTGTAGCCCATGGCGGCGAACTCGTTGAGGGTGTCGACGCTGTCGTTCCAGTACAAGGTCCATTGTGCTGGTTCAATGTCAGCCCGAGGTATGAATATGGTTGTGATGAAGATCTCTTACTGTAGTAGGTGTAGGCGAAGATGAGGTCCCAATCGGCATCCTTGCCTCGTTGCGCGAGGAGTCCGCCGTACAGGTTATCGATACGCGACACGCTACCGTAGTCCTCGGGGTACGGAAGATACGGAAACTCGGTCCAGCCTTCGTACACATGCAAAGAGTCCAACTTTGTTCGGATCGTGATGTTGTACGCCTCCATACGCGGAGTGAGCGAGTCTAGCGGGAGAGCAACCTCGTTATCGCGAGATCCGAGCGCAACTTCTTCGGTCGCAAGGACATCTTCCCCCAGCAAAATCTCAACTGTCAACGGCTTGGATGTCGAATTGGTGTAGTTCGATCCATAGCCGACGGGCATCGGAGAGCCGACCTGGTTCGAGACGGCGGCGTCGATGAGTAGGTTTGCTGAAGAGTCGGTCTCAAGATAGATGCTCAGCCGCGGTCGCACCTTGAGTCGCAGGAGGGGAACGCTGGAGATGGCTGGCTCGGGGAACCATCCACCTGGGTCAAAAGAAGAGTTTCTGCGATTGAACCTTGTGAGCACTTGACCGGCTGAAGCTGACGCAATCGGGTAGAGGGGACTCACGTTGCGCGATACGCCTTTCCGCACCAAATATCAACCCCTTCCGGGTTGTTGAAGCGGACGGCCTGGCCATTGACCGGCGGGAGTGCCGCGATCAAGGCCGCGATAGCCGGAATGAGCTTGCGGAACATCATCCTGTCGTGAACGTTCTCACCCAGGTGTTGCGAATAGCATCATGCTGGTCTGGCTCACGATTCGAAGCCATTGGACTTATATGAGCGGGGGAGTCAGCTATTGACCCCCAGTCCTGGTACGCAACTGGATTGTTGCTTTGGAGATGCAATCAGGTGGATCACCGCCGGATGGGCTATCAATGGCCTGACGTGCCATCGCCGCTGGGTGATTAGCGTCGTCATGACCCTGATCAGGAAGCTATCATGGACGGTAATGAGGGGAACGCGCAGGGTGAGGGGCTCTCCGACTTGGGTGTTTATGAATAGCGACGTTACATCTCTCCAAATCTCCAACTTTGGAAGTTTAGCCGGTTCGTGGGCGGGGAAAGACTTCGGCACTAGGGAATGAGGAGTGCCGAAAGGACGGAAGAAGCGGTACGGCATGACCGGCGAATCGGCCGGGGTTCCGTGCAGTGTTGACTAGATGGCATCTTCCGTGGGTAGCGAAAGCTCGACGACTTCAGGGACTTTGATTGATACGTTGTGTTTGCTTACTCTGGTAAACTTGTGGCCGCTTTCTTCTACCTGGCTCCTCTGTCTCTTCATCAGCCTTCATCAGTCAATTGGATTGCTGAAATGTAGGTGAAAGCTGCTCCAACGTTTCTCAATTAGGGGTGATAGTTAAGGTGGTATTCCGACGGCGGTGGTCATTGTGGGGATGCAGAGATAAGCAAGGGTCGTGATAGAAGCTCATATCATGATCGTCCGTCGCTTTAATTCATTCCGATCTTCGGGGCTCTTTAACATGCTTTGCGCTAAGTCTTTAGCAGCTTTCCTGCTCGCAACGTTCAGATATTGCATCGGTCGTCTGTTATTTGCAACCATAGACATGGTAACATATCAAATACGATCTATTGCATGGTCTTGCACCTACGCGGGGGAATCGAAAAATGGACGTATAGGTCCAGAATTCCATCATCTGCCAGGGAACAGAGCGAAACCCGTGGCCGTGGAACCGGAACACCCTCCCGACAGAAGCCCTGTTGCATCGAACATGGGTAACATATCGCAACGGCATTGTAAACGTCGAAAATGCTCTTCTTGTAGTAACATGCCTATGCTCACGCGAATCCTTGTTTCATCAACGTAGCCAGCGGCATCTGCTCGTCTCTACGACAGAGATGCCGAGATAGCACCTTCTCTGCCAGGGTCGGAAGCGAAGCTGTCTCATATTCTTTGTCCCAAAGATCGCTCTCCCGAACTGCGTTGATCGACTCCAAAATGCTGGCGATTTCGCGGCTATCCCACATACCTTCCCTTCGCTTCATAGAATAGAGCAGCGAAATAGCCCTCGACTGTACATCGGGGTCTCGCGAAAAGGTGGCAACCACCACTAGCGGCGGGATCGTATCTGCAGCTATAGCAAAGTGCGGCAGCTGTTGTGAATTTCCTTCCCCGGACGGACAAAAGGCCTCAGCCCTGTCGAGCATACTTCTCCAGATAGCTGGAGCTATCGTTTCAATGGTGGAAGTTTCGCACTGCTTGATGATCATCTTCCAATCGTTTTGGATAAGCGTCAATATTTGCGCCTCTTTCAAAGCCTCTGGAGAAAACGACGGATCAGACTGCCATATCTCGATGCTCATATCAACTCTGGAGCTCCATGTATCCAGGCGATGCCGTGCTTTCATCCAAGCGTCGAATATCTCATCTTCAAAGGGCGACATGTCGCCAGGTAGATCCAGGACAGAGGCCCAAGAACGTGGTGGAGCCTGGCGAAAGTTGAAGCCTATGATAGAGCCTAATGCCTTTTCAACACGGTGGATTTCGAGTCGTGCCTCGTCCAAGGTCTTGAAGGGATCATGCCCAGATGCCTCAGGTACAGCTGGAGGCCGTAAGAAGAAGTCTAGATCAGGGGTGATTTCTGCCTCGAGCAAATAGGCTGTATCGACCCCAATACAGGAGAACATGACGGCGATATCAGAGAGCTGATCAAAGTACTTGCTGGCGGTCTCGGCAAGACACAATTGTGAAGGGGACAAGGCTTCAGCGCCGTTCATCTCAAGACTCTCTACTGCCTCTCGAATGGAGCCGAGGATCCTAGAGCCACCCCGTAGGTGCTGTATTGCTTTGTCATACCGCCCTTCTATTATCTCGAAACAAACAAAGACGAGGCAAGAGACGAGGGAAATTCTGATGGACGTAGTAGATAGATTTTTCTCCCTGTCCGCCAGTGTCGACTTGAGAGCTTTGCCATAGTACGACATGGCCAGACTTGCAAAGTCTTGATCTTCCGTAACCTTGCTCGCATGCGAATAACCATCAAGGAAAGCTCTGTGCGATAGACCGAGCCCTACCAAAGCATGTTTAACTGAGTGTGAATAGTAGCCCAGCGGTATGATGTAGTTGTTCCAAAGCTTGGTCATCAGCGCTAGGTTTTGAAATCCAGGAATGGTAACCCGACGGACGTGATGGAACATGCATTTCTCAATGAGAGTTCCGTCAATGTCCCAGTCAAGCGATGATGGCAGTTTTTCAGGTGGTTGCGTTGCCTGGTCTAGGTGTCTTTGATGGCCGGCATCGCGACTTTCACTCATCCGATGTCTTTGGCGTGTTCGGCGGACCCGACGCCCTGCCAGATGGGCATCCTGTCTGTGACTGTGAGCGAAACTCTGTGCAAAGATCTCATTAGGGCCAGCAACGCTTACTTCGAATTTCTATAGAAAGTTAGCCTAGAATGTTCAAAGAAGACTCCGTTGCTCGCAAGTGTGGCACCACGTACACCGTGCTGTGTCCGGCCAGCGGCTCAAGTGCCGTTGACGCTGCCGGTGCAAGAGTGTTCGAATGACTGATGAAACAGTGGAACCTGCTAGTGTCTGCCATTTTTCGAATTCTCGTACACTGGGACGAAAAGCTTTCGCCTTCATATGCCCTAGACAGCCTCTCGGAAAACTTAGTCTGGGTCGACTGACAGGTGTCAAGGACTCAAGGCCGGCCTTTCAGGAAGAGATCAGGCACCCAGCTGAGAGTTGGACGCGTGTTTCAGGGAAGTCATCGCATTTCCTCTTTGGTCATTCTCGGCACCCCTGCACAGCCACTTGTAGCCCCACCTGGCTAAGCCTCAAGTAGAAGTGAAGGACAGTTGAAATGCTCACATGATATCAAGAAAAGCAGAAGAACATCAGCTTTTTGAGAGGGCAGATGATTCCAAAGCATATCTGACGGCCAATTCGAGTAAAATTCGTGTAGGAAAAGTGTATCGAGGCATTTTGTCTGAACTTGGACTTTCATGACAGTGCCTGTACCGAAAGAAGTTTCCATGACACGGCGCTTTCACTAGCTTGTGTAAAACAAGAGCCGAAACTTAGCAAAGACGTTTCTGTACATGGAAACAGAATTCGAGAATCAGTACTTGAAGTTACAAGCATGAGAGTGTTGACAGTGAGAAATAGATTGCCACTTTTGCAAGGAACTGTAAGACTAACATGATGTCGGTGATACCAGCTGCGAAGACCACTTAGTCATGCTGGGTGTCCTAGCTGCTCGTGGTAGAGCAAGGTTTCCAGAAAGTTTCGACCGCCAAACACAGCTGTCTATCGCTGTCTTGTCTATCGGTCTTGAAAAATTCAAGCTCGAGATGAAATTGCTATCTTGAAAAATTGGAAAAGTCTTGGACATGGTAGTACCGACTTGATAAAAGTCGGTGGTCTAGTAACTCGGATCAAACTTCTGCTATACTAAATGATTCTGCTGGCTTCATGATGCTGACTTGAGCAACCCGAAAGTTAGACTGCAGATTGAAGAGACCTTTTGTTGCCAAGACTGCTATTCAACTGACAGCAACGATTAATGAACTCAACCTTTACAGTGACATAATGCTACAGCTTGTGCGTAACTTAATCTGCCATGGAGAAGCTGAAATCAAAGATAATAAGATAGAGAAACGTATCTCATCGTTGCGGACCGGTAATGATTCCCTTAGACTTTCCACAGAGGAACGTCGAGTGTCATTGTTGTTTGAGTCGGAAAGTATTATCAATTCTGGCCTGTTCGAAAGATACCGCCAAAAACAAGCAAAAGAGTGGAGATATCCAAAGAATAAGATCCAAGTGCTCGACTATTCGAATGAGTTGTGCTACAATCGTTTAAACGATATATTTATGTTCGCTTCCAACATTCTACTGTATGAAAAGCAAGGCTATAACCGAAAATCATGACATCGACTGCTTGATTGTAGCAAATTCGTTAAAGAGGCTGCCTCAGATACATAAAAAAAAAGAGTGTTTTGTTACAGAAAGAGAGAATGCCTTCCTGGATATCATGTTTGACAACGTATCGTAACGGCCCCGAGAGGCACTGTAACAGCCAGGTTTTGCAAGGCGACGCTTCAAATCTGCTACGTGGCCTCGTGATGATGTTTTTGGCCGGCAGAACGCAGCTATGAACGCGGCTCACTGTTATTCCGAGATTTGAAGTCATTGTCTACAGTTGCAGATCTTTTCAGAAAGCATGAGTTGCAGTAGGTCTCACAGAAGTTGCACTGTAATGTTCCAGTAAGCTCAAATCAATGCTGATCCCAGGGATTTGACTATCCATGCCATACTCGATATTCATTAAGTCCGCCCACCGTAAACACACAACCCTAATCAGGCCCCATCGCTTAAGCTCATAGTAATCCTGAGATCTCCGAGATAGGCTTCATGGTCCGTGGGTGATCATCGAAACGGAAAAGGACGTGATCGCCGTTAGAGGTTTCTACTTTATTCGGGGGCCGAAGGGTCCACAACATTACGGATGCGTGGGATGCAACATCATAGCCGACGAGATGATATGGCGGCTTCGCGAGTCCAACGTCTCGTCTGACGGAGAACATCCCGCAAAGACGATAGCTCCACGCATACAGAGACATGCCAAGATAAACTGGGCATTCGCCCAATGGAGCCCCCAAGAAGAATGTTGTCGGCCCGGGTAGCGAACTGACGAATTTCATCGTTAACTGTCAGAACAGCATCATGCGTTCGCTTGCTCCCTGTCTCAGGCGCTGATGTGGCCAATCGCCTTACACCCTTACGCCGTACACAACGAAACAGGGTCAGGGTTACCCGTTTCGACCTAACAGGGGGGGGATGAAATGCTACCGATCGGCAGCGGAGGAATGACTAAGATCGGGGTTCGAAGGGAGAGATCCGACTCAATCGACCTAGCCCCCTCGGGAATTGATGTTTGATAGAGTCTGGTGTTTGCTGCCCGCCGTGATCATGGTATCGTAGCACCTGGTTGTTACATCGCGGATAGAGGGCCTCGAACGACAGTCAGGAGATGTAAGTTGAGCAAAAAGGTCGGATCAGGTACGAGATTGAAAGCGAGACCGGGACGGTCTGAGCATTTGCTTTCTCGACAGGATTCTATCTGGTCTCAACCTTTGGTCATCATTCATGTCAGGGCTACCTCTCTCACGTGGTCGAATACGAAAAGGGTTGTCATGACAGATTCTCAAGCGCACTGGGCCTCTTCTGGCCACAGAATCGTAGAAGCCACAGGAGTGTATCTAAGAGGAAAGACATCGAGGCTGAGCGCAGCACCACGTCGTCTGCCCTCTCCTCGCGATTTCGGGCGCTAGAAGGGTTGAAGCACAGACAATAGACTTCAGCCCTTTGAGGCTCACTCGAACCTCGCGTAATATTGATGCTGTATTTGAACATGGTTCCCATACCCTCGTCCCGAAACTGTGGAAGGCGACCCCGGCCTAGACGAGGGAGCCAATCGCAACTTCCGGAGCGCGACGTGGGGGATGATCTGCAAATGGGGACTGGCGGATTCGGCCGAGCGATCCAAGCGGCTCAACTGCGCGACATCCTACATGCAGGACCCCTGGATCCCAAGGGGCACAATTTGACGTTTCGTTTCACGATATTCTAAACATTCCAAGGATGGGGCCAGCTTTTGCATCAGTTTCGAGCACAGAGTCTGTAGGATTTTCCAATTATTTACAAGGGTGTGATTCGTTCCAAGCTACAATTGACAGGGTTTGTACAACAACGTGATTAACAAGAAGAAGATTCCATGCTCTAGTGCTTTGTAAGAAGAACGAGATGATATGTTACAGAGAACAGATTTTTTGACCAACGTTTTAAGCAGGCCTTCAAACTAATACCAAAAAGCACAAAGCACCGAGGGACCCTTTCCCTGCTTTCCCACCTACACCGTCGCAAAAGGCTGACCCCCCCTGATAAACACATGACTAACACAGAGATGAAGAAGAAGAAGCAGACCACACACCACTTACACCCAGCTCCGTAGGGCCCACCACACGTGTCGCGTTAAGCTTTCCGTCACCAACATCAGACTTTGGTCGCAGATGTCGGGATTCATACTAGTGTCACCCCCTCTTCGGTCAAATCCGCCCAGCGAGAAGTGAGCGCTTATCGTATTGGGGTCTCGAAATTTTGCGCGCGGCCACCTTTGGGGAAAATGAGGGGAGGTAGATGACCCCTCGTGGCAAGATCGTGTGGCGTTTAGTTGCCAGCAGGGCTTGGCGAGCCCAGCGTCGCGGGCTTGAGGGACGAACCGCCTTGGCTTTGCGCCTGCTGTGATTGCTGCTGAGGCTGCTTCTGGCCTTGGTTCTTGTTGCCGTTGTTCGCGTTGGTGTTGCCAGAACCAAGAGTAGCAGGCTGAAGGCCAGTGCTGGCGTTGTTCTGATTGCTATTCGGAGCTCCGTTGTTGCCCTGGTTGTTGGTGTTCGTATTGGTATTAGTGTTGGTGTTCGCATTTCCATTACCGTTGCGATTGCCCTGATTCTGATTCTGGGGACGGTTGTTATTGTTGTTGCCCTGGTTGGTGTTGGTGTTGGTGTTGCCGTTGTTGCCAACTCCCTTGCCAATATCCTGACCACCGTTCCGGCCACCATTGTTGCCCTGACTCTGGTTCTGGTTGCCTTGGTTCTGGTTATCATTGCCCTGGTTTTGGTTGTCGTTACCCTGGTTCTGATTTCCGTTTCCCTGGTTCTGGTTGCCATTTCCTTGATTCTGGTTTTGGTTGCCATTGCCCTGATTTTGGTTGTTGTTCCCTTGGTTCTGGTTGTTGTTGCCCTGGTTCTGGTTGTTGTTGGCGTTTCCATTTCCGTTGGCATTACCGTTGCCGGCCTTTGGCGGGGTGGTCGCCGCAGGTGCAGCGGGAGCACCGCCCGCTGGCGGCGGAACCGAGGGAGTGACGTTGGCTCCCTCAACTTCCAAACATCCCGTGGGACGAACGGACTGGATGTTGGGTGCGCCAGCGGCAGCAAAGTACATGTCGATGTTGGGAAGGACATTGACACAACGGTTCTGGTTGATGGAGTTGACATCCCTTTGCGCGGTGTCCGGACCGTTGGTGACCATGCTCTGAAGAGTGTCAACAACCTGCTGGAAGTTACCCTGCGTGTCGAGCACGTTGTTGGCTTGCGTGACCATGTCCGTTCCCTGGAAGGCGGCGTCGAGAACCATCTTGTGGTTGAGCTCGTCGATCTCGGCGTTGAGCGCAATAGTGGCTTGCTTGGTGAACTCGGCGCCGGTGAAGGAGGTGGCGGTGTTGAGGAACTTGGTGACCTTCGCGGTATCCTGCATCCAGGACATGACGGCGTTCATGACCTGAGCATCGCTGACGCCATTGCGTCCGGCGCCGCCAGTGTTGGCGGTGTTGTTTGCGCCTTGGCTGGCGCCAGCTTGTTGGTCCTGCTGAGGAGCCCGAGTGTCCAGACGTCTGACACCTCGCGCGAGGAACCGGTGGCTGCCCAACGAGTTGCCTTGCGCCGGGCTGGCAGCTGGGAGGGCGAGACCGAGAGCAGTCAGGTACGAAAAGACGAAGACGTGAATGAAGGAGTACTGCATTATGGCGGTGTTGTTTGG